CAAAGCCACGTGCGTCGTATTTTCTGGTAAGGTGGCTGCAATTGACCATGCATTGTATCCAACTTAGAACAACTAGGCTACAACTGCCCTCTTCCCTTCGCTAGCTACAGCCTTGACGTGATGCGGCCATGATGCCGAGGCGCGCCGAGGATTGACACTTTGTGACTTCCAATCACAGCCTACGCCGCACCAGTCTTTGATATTTTTAAATATGGGTACTCATTGGACCACCAACTCGCCGATCTCATGAACTAGGGTATTCTGCTATGTTAGAACGGTTTCCTACGATAGAGTTTGCCACAAATACGAAAATAACACGCTGTTTAGCGCACTGCACTACGTCCTTCTGTAGCATTTCGCATCTCCGTAATCAGAATAAGCCCCGCCTTCTTCGTTGATGGGCATGAATGGGGCGTCAACGACGTGACCCGTTACTGTACCTACTGTGTTTCGCCAGACTGTTTACTTTTCGTAAATAATAAAATGCCCGGCCGATGCATTTCGCATCGAAGTGGGAAAATTCGGCATTTTTACCCGCTTTCGGAAGTGAAGCGTCATTCATTGAACATTGAAGTTTTTCTTAAAATTATATAATTCCGAAAATCCCTAACCGCGCTATTCGATTGTTGTAGCCAATGAACGTAACTGTGTGTGTGTGACGTCTTGCCGCGCTATTTATGCTTGGCCTAGCGGGCCTCGAAATGGATATCGGAGGCAGGCACCTCGCAACACGCGTGTTTGTTTACATATAGCTTTGTGACATGAGGGTGGGCGGTGTTGGGGAGTTCTGCGATGATATAACCTCGTAATTTCTCAGAATTTCTTAAGGTGCATGGAATATTTTACCAATTTAGTGGTGTCAGTTAGTCACCGATATGTCACAGTAAGCACTAACCGTATATGTTTCACATACGTTCACCTATTTTGCACACAGGCGGTCAATCATTGTGAAAAATTGTGTGAATATTTATTTTTATTGAGACGTTCCAAGTGCCTGTGCTTTCAACGGTCTTGTACGTCAATGCACGTGCGTCAAGAGCCACAAACTCAATACAATCTCATCTCTGTTATTGTTTACGCCTGAATGCGTGATTGATCAGGGAGGGGGAGCATGTAAGTGGGAGACATTTTCTTTGGAGTTCCGAAAAACACAATTCCACTTGACAATTTCACGGGCCATTTCAATTGGAAGCTCAGCATAATGGACCCCCAACAAGCCCTTTGACTGACTAGTGAAGAAATTCAAAGGTGTATATATTGCTCTTATTTAGCCGCCGATAGTTCTTATTTAGAACAAAATCTTCATTGTTATATTATAAAACTACAGACCATCCGCTGACCGCTGTGGAAACGTGCGCCGGGCCTCGAATTTGGCGCACGTCTCCACTGCGGACAGCGCTTCATACTTGAACATCTCTGCGGTCGCGTGCGCATATCCCGCGGAACTGTGCGTCTCATCCGCGCTCAGCGCTCAGGATCAACAGCTAAGCTGTGCCACGCAATCTTGTATCATGTCTCTCTGGAAATATACACATATAGGCCTATATATGTACGCACCAGAACTTTGCCTACTTAATAAATACTGAATCTTATCTCTTATGTTTTTCGCGTAAGCATGTGAAGATGCGTAACGGGACAACCCGCGTTCACCCGCTCGGCTGAGATGCGGCTTAGACCACCTCCAAACGTCCCACACAGCCGCAAGCGCTTTCACCGAGCATTTCCCTATAAATCGGCCTAAGGGTCGACCTGGTGTCACCAGACGACAATTACATTCAACAATGACCCCATAGCGACCAAACTAGCTGGGCCGCGTTTCACTAACGTCCGCTAAAAGTTATTCGTTAACCAACGAAAGTTGTTCGTTCTGAAGGCATACCGAACAACTTACCGAATAACTTTACCGAACAACGCATTTCACTAACGCTTCGCTATGCTCTCGCTATTTCGTGAATAACTTCGCGTCAGCTAGCGGCAACTACAAACACGTGGCGCAGTTGTTGATAGGTTACGCTCTGTCATATGCCTAATCACAGATGTATACCCAACATATATTGTGTTGGGTATACATCTGTAGCCTAATCAACATGGAGAACCGAATAATTTGCCGCAAATACTTGCAAAGACGCAGAAATGGCTCGAGATCTCATTGTCCTTGGGCTGAGCTCATCGTCCAGTTGATCTACTAGATTAGCAATGACATGCCTGCATGAGCAATCTATATCTGGCGATAATTTCTGTATCATTGTAGGCATCAAACGGTTGTGTTCTGCCTCTGAAAACTCTTTCTCTTCGTAAATGTCGTCTTTCATTCTCTGGATTATAAGCTTGATACAATAAAAAGTTTGCCATGCTTGTCACTATACACTCCGCTGCGTGCAGTTGTGCTCACATACTATACGCAGCAGGGGCGGCGCCACATGGGGGGGCAGGGGGGGCGGTCGCCCCCCTATCATTTGCAAGAAAAAGGAAAGAAGAAGAAAAAGAAAAAGAAAAGAAAAAAGAAAAAGAAAAAGGAAAAGAAGAAGAAGAAAAGAAGAAGAAACGTCTTGCAAATGATGGGTGGGGTGGGGGGTCACCCCCCCATCATTTGCAAGAAAAGGTAAAGAAGAAGAAGATTCTTGCAAATAATAGGGGGATCGCCCAAAAATGAATGGTGTAGCCTACAAGCTGGACCACTTTCATCGAAAAATCGAAAAATTAAGTGTCGAAATTCAATCCATATAAAACCTGTGCTTAATTTGATAATCGATGTCAAGGTGTTATTTCCTTGGGAGTCCCAAGTTGGGACCATCATTTGTCGATGATGCTGTTTCCCATTCTTGTTATACATAATACAAGAATTATTGGTTCAAGTGCTACAGCATAGATTTTAAAGCAAATCACTGTTCC